CACAGACCCACAGCCGCTGCACAGCAACTGTCACTCACCTCCGACTCCTCTTTTACTGTACCGAGGTAATAAAAGCCATCTTGGTCCCCTCTCGCCAGCACAGGGACGTTGCTGTCTAAGCCCACCGATCTCTCCAGCGTGCTCGGCCTCTCCCACACCAGGCCAGGGGAGGGCAGGCAGTGGCTCATCCATCGGCACCTCGAAGAAAATAAAATAGGTCAGCACTGAAACAGTTTCTGTAGGTCATGGAAAAAAAAAAATCTTGTAAGATTTAAGAACCGGATGATGCCACCTCATTTTGTAGCACACCCACAGGCCGAGGCAGAAAGAAGAAAACTTGCTTTTGCTGGGACAACTCCTTGCTCCTGGGGAAAAAAACCATCAGAGCCTGTTTCTACCCAGATCACTTCAGGTTTGCACTTTGAGGAAGCGAGGCAGGAGCCTGCTGGAATCCCAGGCCAGCATTACCTGCACTAGCTCCTTTGCTGCTCACATGGCGAGCCGATGTAACTCTGCAGAGCAGGAGAGAGAAAGGCTCCATCTCCAGCACAGAGCACACGGCGGGTGCACCCGAGAGCACTGTGGCTGGTACTTTCCATCAGGCATTCAGGGAGCAACAGAAAAGCAGAAAAGTAAACAACGAAGCTGCTGGTTGATGACAGGTTCAAGTTCAAAACAGAAAAAAATAAACCCCTGTCACAAAGCATTAGAAGCATTTCACAGAAGATGGCTGCTAAGGCAAGATGCTTTTATTTATCTAAATAATATTAAAGGAATGTTTCTTTGATTGGAGGTTTACGCAGGCTTTGCTTTTCATCATCTCCAGGGTAGCAAATCACTTCAGTTAATACCACCTAAAAAACTGTCAGTGCAGGGGAGGAGATGTTCAAGCTGCTCAAATTATGCTCAAGCTGCTAATTTATTAACCTGACACATTCCGGTCTGGTTTATCCTATTAGAAACCATAAAAAAGAACAAATCACAGACTCAAGAGCTTGATTTTACCTTTGGTGGATGAGGGGCTCGGTGATCCAGGCAGGATGCACTACAAAGGAGCTCCTGCAGCAGAGGCTGACAGTAGGTGTGACACCGGAGCACAAGAACTTGTCCAGAGCTGGTATTGCACTGCAGTACCTGTGACCCGTACTTGAATGAGCCATTCTTGCAAAAGCAGCTACCCGCAGGACTTGGTCATGACCTGTTGGTAGTTGAAAAGAAACGAGACAATGTACTGGCATTTTCCAATACAAGCAAAAGCTTCCCAATGTACCTCGAGAATTCAGGAGCTTCTATTAATTCATTTTTATTTAGAAATAATGAAGTCAAATATACAGACTGACATTTGATCAGATGAGTCCATTTCACTGACTTCAGTCACCCAAATCCTGACCTGGTAGAGGGACAGAAACACCTAAGGCAACTCTAAATGCTGTGAAAACCCCCAGGAAAGCAATAGCTTTCACCTCCCTCCAACTTTTGTTTCCCTCTGTAACACCCAGCTCTCTTTTCTTATACCTACACTCTCCTTTTAAGCGTTCTTGTCCACAGTCTCAGCCAAATATTTGCTGTATTACAAGCTGTAACAGGAACTACAGCTGAAGTTGACAACCTGAGTAAACGTGACAATTTCTGAATGTGATGTTAGATTACAGTTGCCTGTTATTTATTTGTAGTGATGTATTGAGAGGAAATATTTTGATCTTTCAGCTGTCCTGTCATGTTTTATAACAGTAGAATTATGGCTTGCCATGAGAAAGAATGAGATGCTCAGATTTGACAAGTGATAACTATTCAGAGGCTGTCACGGTTAAGATTGATGATGCGATGCTATCTGCCCTTATCTGACAAGATTTAGCAGACAAGTTCCCATTCCTTTTTTCTTCTTCTTCTTCTTTTTTTAATATTGCTTAGAAATGTTTATCATGCTTGGGGTAAAATTTGCATAAGAAACTCAACAACATATAAATTTTAAGTGCCTAATTTACTTTATAAAATACAGTTTAAGCTCTCGTATTATGTTTACATGTTATTTTGTCTCTTAGATAAGAGATGATCTGGGAGTCCTTTTTATAAGGACTCCCAGATAGAAATAATTTCAGAAAACGATGACACCAAACCCAAGAAGAAAAGTGGATTAACTGCTGCAAAATGTGTCTTTAGGTCAGCAAATTAACACAGTGTATTCACTTGTTTCACAACTGCACAAGCTCCCCTAGTATAAACCAAACCAAGCCAGAATCAGTAACACTTTGCAAAGAAGTACAACTACCAAGTCCACATTAAAGCCCATTTTAAAGCTATTCAGCACTGTCACTGCTGTGAGCCAGGTCTGCTATTTCTGAATAAAACAGGGCACTGATAAAGACAACTGTGCAACATCTTACGAGATTTTTTTTCTGGATAACTCCAAGTACTTAGCCACAGCAATGTTTCAAACTTACCAGCTATTGATAACACCACATCTGGTCAATCTGGATGCAGAGATCTTTCCCTGTTGCCTGTTTGACGCGGGCAGCCATTTGCTGCCAGTGTTTCCTAGTTGCTATGGAGGTTGCCACAGTCCCAGGATGAGGGGACCTGACCTTACTGGTTAAAAAATGGTGGAACGGGACTACAGATTGGACCATTTGTCTGCCACGCATCCACTCAATTTTCAGCTCCCCGTTGATCTAGATACTGCACTGAAAGAGTGCAGAGGCCAAGAAGGGATTATAACAGGGCGCAGTGTCCTCTAGGCTTTCTGCCTACTCTTGCAGAGCAATAAACAGCATCATACAAAGCTGCAGCTCAGATTTAGGGAAAAAAAGCCCAGCACCACAGGGTGTGACAAATAAATTGGTTTGAAATGCAGACAGAAAGGTTGAAGTTGAGACAAACTGAGGCCAAATCACTTTACAAACTTTCGCTTCTCACAATAAAGGGGAAGGATTAATGAATTCTATTCTTTCTCTGCCAAAGCACAAATCAAAAACATTCCAGAACACAATGCAGAAATCTACCTGATAATCTCTGCTATGATCCATAATCTTCATTTTCTCCTTAACAAATATTAACTCTTTTTCTTTTGATTTGTTTGGGGTTTTTTTGGGGTGGGGGTAAGGGGAAGGAATACTTAACTACATTTTGTACACATTTTTCAATTCACTGCTATAAAACAAGGTAACAGATGGGATGATTGCAATTAGGGACAAAGATACAGCACTTAGGAAGTCAGTAATAATTTCTGTATGTTCTGCTGCACCCACAGACTACCTGCTCTTGTGCTGTCAGCAGAACTGCAGTTTAATATCGATAATATGATTCCCTTACATACAGCAAATGTTAAGAACACTTTGCCACTTATGAGCTAAACTCTCTCTGCCATCTTCCCAAAAATCTATTCTGTAGCACTTAGCTTAAACCATCACTAGTACAGTGGAACAGACTGGGAGGGAACACCACCCCAGACCTCAACCACTATCAATGAAAGTCACAAAAAATCTGTTGCAGGTCTTTATTTTCCCCAAGGCCAAGACCTTGCCAATCCTCTACACTGTGTATTGTGTGAGCAGTCCTAGTAATTTTTAAGGATACTGACAGCTGAAGAAGAATCTAATTTCCAACAAAAATTAGGCTAAATCAACAGTTTTTAGTGGGATTAAAATATTCATTGATAAGAAAAGGATGGAACAGCACTTGCAAGACATTATACTCTTCCTATGTTCAGAAACCATGCTTCAGAGAGCTGCTACCCTCCTCTTTCTATTTTCCTCCTTTTAAATTATCCCTTCTGTTGGCATCTAACAACATTCCTGGGAACCTTTATAAGAGAAACACTGGCAATTAGACCAAATCTTTTAAGAAAGTGCATGTGAAAGTAAACCAGTAACATTACAGAAAATGAGAGAAATCTCAGTCCCACCAGTGGAAAGATTTTATTTTAAAGTATGCAGGTTGTGATGATACATACAGTTACTTCACATGTATAGCTATTACATTTTTGGTTTGGTGACAATGTTAGAAATGTTTTCTGATTTCCATGAATTAACTAAGGCCATTCAGATGCAATTTCCTCAGTTGTCTTTTTCATATCTAAGCGTAGTTACTATCTGAAAAATTAACACTCTCTTCTGTGGCTGATACTGATGCATGCTATGATGTGCCAGGAATGTGCTAGTAGGTTCCCTGACAAGATACCTTTTGCTTGGTTTGGAATGGTTTAGATCGTCTTCAAAAACTGGTTTTGTTTGTTAATTGCTTTAGGTACTTGGCTTGGCTCCATTACATTTTTTTCTGCCACCACAGAATCACTGTACAGAACAGACTGGAGGTAGCTAATATATTTTATTGCAGCACGGAGTGTCTCTACTTTGCTGAGCCGTTTCTCCAAGTATTCCTTAGGTAGGTGATGTCTCAGTTTAGCATAGCCTTCATTGACACATTTAACCCTCTGCCTTTCCCTCTCATTCCTCTTCCTGATGAAAGCTGGCCCGTAGGAGTACTCACTTCTGTGGTAGTTGGAATAAGGTGCAGGGTTCACTGCAGAAGTTCTCCATGAGGAGATGCTCAGACATGAAAGGAAGGAATGACAGATCTTCAGAGCAAGTGACCTGGTTTGGTGTTTCTGGGTACATGTGAAATGTGACCATTGGGTCAGCACAGAAAGGCCTGGCCAGCTGTGTGCACTGAGTCTCGGTACAGACAGACAGCTTGTCCATAAGGTTATGGCAGCTTTTGCCATCCATCAGGTTTTGCATTTAACCTGGAAATACACAATCACATAATAATTTAAACAACTCATACTGAACAGTAGAAAAAACTCACCTGGACTTACTAACATGTGGCATTGCTGGCACTTGTGACATTTCAGAATAGTGTTGGAAGATCGTTACATAGAGTGGACCATGTCCCATTTGAAAATACAAGAGGGTGCAAGTCAGCAACACTGATTTAAAAAAATTAAAATAGATTTTAAGAAACTAAAGCCACTAAAGCTTCCTAAAAGAAACAGTAGTCTCCTTTCACCTCAGCTTTAGAAATTAAGTTCTATCTTTATGTACCCCACACAGGTATAGCTTGCTTTGACTCATCCAAAACTTACATCTCTGCTGACAATAAACAAAGCAGGTCAACATCTGAGGCATTCTCTTCACCCCCTTCTCCTCCCTGAAAAAAAGTAAATCTACAATTCCAGTAACAGACTCCGTATCCATACCAAAATGCCTTCAAAGACAAATTACTTTTTTTTGCTATTCATTTGATGTCTCATTCACTATACTATCTTAATTAGATGGAAAACTTATGCAGGGGATGGATCTCAATTTTATGTCTGTCAAGCATTAAATCCATTCTACAAAAAAAGTTTTACAAAAAGTTCTCTAAGTTTCTGCTAAACCTGACATTTCCTTGGGTCCTCCAGTGCTCCTTCTGCACTCAACTGCATATGAAACACAGATATTAAATACTAAATACAATCCTACTGACGGAGGATTATGAAATAATAAATTTATTCAAGGTAAACTGCATGTCCTGATAATGTTGTTCTAGTTACAAACTATTTTAGTAAGAAGGGACTGCACATAGTGGTTGGAGCACTGTTAGAAACCTGTAACTCAGACTGGCCTACTAAACCCACACACCCTCTCTTCAGAGCAGTGTTACAACAGGCATAACTACTCAGATCACCCTTATAAAGTTATTAGAAAAATAATCTTGCAGTGTTTTATAGGAAGCTACATTATAGTGCCTTCCCAATATCATTATTCAAACACCTAAACAGCAGCGTAACTGTAGTGATTGTTACCTAATAGCTACTTAAAAATTAATTTTAAATAACTAGTTAATTTTTAAAGAATTACTGTGAACCATCCTGATTGCAAGCAATACTTGCTTACACAGAATCTATCCAAAAATGCTCTTACCATCCACTTCCACATCTAGATGTTGCTGTCTAAAACACTCAGGTTATACTACACTCTCTAAAACAGAAAACACACCTGAACATTAAACTAGGTTACTAGAAATATCTAGATTCCAGACTCAAAAAAACCTTGCAAAGCTTCAAAAGTTCAGACCACGGTTCCATAACATAAATGAGATCAATAGGATCCTCTTTATCCTTCACAAGGATATGGGTATATTTTAACATTTTCTAACCACTTCATACCTGCCCTGTGTAATACAAAGAGAATTTTTACTCAGTATGGACCTATCCTCACAACACATTCTATCAAAATGTCTCTGTATTCGGTGTCATCTCTTTTTCTAATGCACATAAATCTCACAACAGAAATCCTACAAGGTAAGAATTCACTTATAGCACGCTGTTAGAAAAGAGACAAAGTCACACGCATCTTAAACAGGTACATCTGTAGGTTGGCTGAAAGCATGAACTCACCCATTTTACATTAATATACATGCAGAAAATCAGAGGTGAATATATACACTTATTATAAATGGAAAATAGCAGTCATCTTTTCCTTTTCCACTTGCACAGGTTGGGTTATCATCTGAAAACTTCCTACTAACAACTTAAAACATTTATGAGGAAAAATGTCTGTTATACAGCAAAAAGAACTTTATAGCAAAACATCACTGTAGAGCAAGAAACCAAAACCAGCCCAACCCCTCAAGAAGATACTTGCAGTATTTGCTGCTTAGCACCAACACTTCTGCTGCATAACAGCATTATATGAAACAGTTACCTGCTGCCTTACTACTTGCACGAAGTGCAAAATACAAGTGTTAGGATCATTTTCTTTTCAGACTTGAGACTCACCAATGTTGAGATGAAAGTAAAATCCAAGGAAACAAGATGTGCTATTTTAAGACAGATGAACAATACCTGAAAATATCTGAATGATATTAAAAAAAAGAAGTTAGTGTTCTATTTTTCTTACATCTTAATTAATAAGATATCATATTAAACACAATTCATTAAAAAGCTACAAAGCACTGTTAGTAGATAGCTGGTGGAAGTGATTTAGAAAAACACTGAAATTCAGTGAAGATCTGTTGCTCGATACAGCAATATGCAAGCCTCTTACCTGAGTTATGTAGCTTGTTCCACTGAGTCAATGACTGCTGCAATTTATAGTCAATTGACAACATGCAAAGTAGCTGACAGTTAGATCTGCTCATTTCTGGTTTGGCTTTTCCACCCACACCACATCTATGATGGCAACAAAACTTGGCATTAAGGGCCAGAAATTTTAAAACTGTACAGAACACAACCAGATTACCTGAAAAAGTAATCGGGAAGGTACCTTGTTTACTTCCTGTGTGTATGCTGTTGCAGTTCACTAAAGCAGTATTTTAATTTACTGGCATTTTGTACGTTAATATCTAAATATTAGAATCAGCTAGAATTTAGTTAAATATTTACCATAAATCCATAAGCAAACTAATTTTCATAGCTTCCACTTTCAACACCAAAAGTCAGCACTTATTTAGAAGAACCTTGTGACGGATTTGTCTCCAGATTGAGAGGACACTCATTAGTCAGTTTAATACCCTCAATTTCAGTCTTCATTATACCTGTAATTTTAGGAAATCCCCTTAACATCAAGAAATGTAACACCATATAAAGGGTCTCTAATAAAGCATTTATGGAGGCAGACAAGATTTTAAAACAGTGAGCAGTCAGTATCAAGACAAACATTTTGAAGTTTTCCTTAAATTTAGAAACACAATATGGAGCACTCTGTATAATCACATACATGTAGGTATATAGATGGTACATATATCAGTATATGGCTGTCCGATTGTACAGGTACAAGGCAACAGGACACCTAACTTCAAAACTCCTACTTTTACAGGATTACCTTGACACTTCAGACAATCTCACTATTTGGCCCTTCTATCGATCAAAGTAAAACCACACAGAAAATCCAACACCAAACCAGTTTAGGTTAAAACTTTCAGAAGACATTGTAAGATTAGAAACACTTGATCTACTACCAAGAGAGCTACATACACCCTGTCTTGTCTTCTTGGGACATTTTGCTGCCCTTGTGTGGGGCCACAACCATAATGTATTCTGCATCTTCCTTCCCACACCAGCTTCACGCCTCATAAGAAAGGCAGCCAAGAGGTAGAGCATCTACTGGAGCTGGCAGACAGGCACGTATTCAAAGAGGTCACTGTTTTCCTTCAGGGGAGCCCAGGTACATCACTGTCATAACTGCTTACTGACTCACCAGGGTATGATGTTGAACACAGCAACTGAACCTGAGTGTCCTCTCAATCCACCTTATGTTCTTTGTTGTTTTTCTTGTTGTTTTTGTGGTGGGTTTTTTTGGTTTTTTTGGGGTTTTTTTGTTTTTTTGTTTTTTGTTTTTTTTTAATTTAAAGAAAGAATCCTGTGCCTCCACAAATTAGCCACTCATTACAATTCCCTCCAGATTAACTCAGTTTTTGGAAGACTACAGGATGGACAAGACAATGAATCTCAGTATTTGCAAAAGACTGCAGTCAAGTGCAGATGTTATTATAAGGCAACTATGTTCCCACCCCTGCAGAGGCAGAGCTCTGTGTACAGGCACAGTTTATATCCCAGGCTACTCTGTCCCCAAGGCTGTGGACTAAGCAAGCCAAAACTGCACCCGGCAACATGTAGTACTGTTCCATGCACCGCTTCCCTCTACACTGGAACTGAAAATGGTGTAAGAGAATAATATAACTACATATGCATAGCTAAATTTAAGTCAGGGATTAAAAACTTTTTTCAATTAGAAATTTGGTGAGCCTTTCCTTTATCTAAGCACTGAACAAGTGCATATTTCTGCTCTGAAGCATTCGCAGAGAAGTGCTTTTATAGACAAAATTTACATGCAGGGTAATGAGGGAGAAAAATGATGACATAGAAATAATGCACATTTGTTTTTCAAAAATCAGTTTTATCTTTAATTGTTACATTCCAAAGGGGATATATGAAAGTTAGTCATCTAGCAACTGTGTACCTCTTAAGAGAGACAAATACAGAATCACAGATAAAAAAATACACCTAACTCCCAGGATGACAGGTGCTAGAGAAAAGTATGTGCCTTACACCATAAATCCAGACAAATACAGAAAGATTTTTATAATAAATATTTCATCCTGAAGACTTTACTCATTAAAAGAAAGGGAGAAGATTTTTTAAGAGATATCATACACAAAATATATTAAGCTATTAAAGCAAAATAGAACAAAACGCCAGCAGTGTTTTGATATGCACTGGAGTTTATCTACATCACAGTACTATAAGTATGCAGCTCAAAGAGCCAGTGTCCATTTAAGTTCTGCCTTAATCTCCAAACATCATTTGACATACAAGCGTCTTTAAAGTACAAGTGCAAGAAACCAAACGATGCCTACAGTCAATCAGGATTTCATTCTCTGATATGAAAACTACGCTGCAAGATTTAGATTTCCAGTACCTAGCATTAGTCAGCAGAAAATCCAAGTATATTTACAAAAGGTCTATACATAAAGTGATTAGTGAGCTGTAAGTAATTACTATTTTCCCAGGTACTTTTTAACCACATAAATAGTAAGAGAAATATAGTTAAAAACCACCATAAAGTCTCAACTGTAAATATGGTACCACAGTGGCAACCCAAGATATCTTAGAGTTTGTTTTCTTTTCAGTTTTGTTATCAAAAGCCATTTGAAAATGTAAAATTTGGTTAACTGATCTTTTTAAATTGCCTCCACTCCAGTGCACTCCTTCAAAGTTCAAATACTTTTTTTTTTTTTTTAATCGATAACAAACCATTCAAGAAAACCCTTCTGAACTGGCAGGATCAGGAAGACACGAGTCAGCTCTTTCAATCAATCCTCTTTACTTCCCCGGAGTTATTTCACTGAGACACAATTAACTCAGCACCACATGACGGTCAAAGACAGATTTGCGTTGCTCCTGGACCTGTAACTTCCAGCGCTGCTGGGCATACTCCACTTTGTTCAATACATTGGCACGGCTCCGAGAACGAGCCAGCACATCATGTGCATTTGCAAAAGGCTGGTGATCCTGCAATGGCAAAAAACACTAATTAGATCTCAACAACTCCACTGAGCAATTACATTAGTCTTTTTTGTTGTTATATTCCAAAGGATGTGGGGTGGGGTTTTTGTTTTGTTTGTTTGTTTTTGTGGTTTTTTTGTTAAGGTAAATAAGTTGTTTACAGAAGCTGGTCAGTAATAATGACCAAGCAAATTTCTGAATAGTTAGAACTGTATTCTGTTCCTCATTCTGAGTAATTTCCACAGGTTTCCCAAACAGACCAGATTTCATTGCACTTTCAAACAATTATTTGCTGTCCAGAGACATCATGGTGAGCTGCAAGATCAGAACCACAGTCTTGCATCCATCACCAGCTGAGGAGACAGAAGCCTACAACAGATCCAGGTGCTGGGAGCCTCTTGTTATTGTCGTGAACGCACTTCACTTTAAGAGTCAGTTCTCTGCCAGCTCTTGGCCATTTACCATCAGGCAGTTCAGGATGTTCACAACAGCTTCTATATAAAACCAACACACTCTGATGTTTACCAAACTAAACCTATTGTACTGAGCTGTCCAAAAGCAAAGTGTCAATACAGCTGTTTAAGTGACAGAGCTCAACAATAACCAAGTGCTTGTTTAATATTTACTCTGTTTTCTAACAGTACCCGCAAAGCTTTATTTTCTCCTAGTAAATATAACCAAGTTACAAACAGTAAGAGTTGGAAATGACCTTCTCATTTGGCTATTAAACTGTCAAAGTCACATTGCTAAAGCTACATCAGAAAGCATCATATATACAATGCATAATGAAAAATAATGTAATTATGTCCTATATTAAATAACGGTCTTTTCTGTATGTCTACAATTCATATTCCTTTTTTTTTCCTCAGAACACCTTTGAAGACAGTTACATTAATGGATACTTTGTGACATGACTGTGTAAAGTAGCTCAACAACTGTTAGTACTACAGAGATGATCACTAATGATACCTATTGAAGTGATGCCTACAAGCCCCAAAGCCACACATGAGCCTCACTGGGCTAAGAAATATGCTAACAGAGAACAAGAGACAATCCCTGACCCAAAGAGCTATAATCTCACCATAAAAAATTATGCAGCTGGATATGCCTAGAATGGGAAACTTACAGGTGACAAATCACTTCACTCACAGGGAAAAAAATCACAACTGGAACACGTTTCTACCATAAAATACATGCTGGAAGGGAGAACATAGGACAAGCTAGATGGTACTAGCTTTCCTGATAAACAACAATCTCAGTTCAAAGGCTAGCTACTGCCAATTTCTATGTAAACAACAAGGGGAAAAAATAATTTGAGAGGAAAGAGGTCTATGGAAGTGGCTTATGTTCATCAGTTGTCACTGCCATCAATGGGAAATGAGAAAGAACAAACACACTGGCTTGAAATTCAGCAACAAAATCAATGCGCATGGTATTTCCAAAGTGCAAGAAGGATCAATACCTCAAGAACTTGCAAGAGGGAAGGCAAGGATGGGGACAAGCCATGAAGGACCTTAAATGATTTCACGTTCACTGTCACAGAACAAGGATAATTGGGAAAGGAGCAACATGAACTAACCGAGGACCTGAAGAGCTTTTGCTCCATGCACTACTGCAGATATAAGCACTCGTGACCCCACAAGAACAGGTAAGGGTCACAGTAACAGCTACAGCAAAACACGAAATTGGTTAAGATGGATCCAGAATTTAAGGTAAATTAATTCCTTAGTTAACCTGAGCTCTGCCATGGGACCCATTTCACTTCTTCCACTTACAATCCAAAGATTCTAACCCAGATTTGGGGGTATTAATAGAATTTATAAATGTATAAAATAATTTGTCTGAGGTATAGAACACAGGACAAGTTCATTTAATTCAAGTAGGAAACTGCCCAATTTACTATAAGAACATAGAGAGAAAAAGCGTCATTCAAATTCCTCCTTTCCAAAAAAAAACCCCAAACCAACTCAAATATCCTCCTATAAGGACTGGGAAAATCTTAAGATGCTAATACACAGACATGTGGAATATGTCACCATGTAATACACAAGGAAGTACAGAAACAGTGAGACGAATTCCAAACAATGTTACCTCAAACTTGGGTAACAATCAGATATTTCTGTTGTCAAGTCAAGGTAAATATAGAAGGCACAGCTGATAAAAGCTATTATCTAGGAAAATGCTTGATTTGGAATACTTAACATCCCCCCTACAGAACAGAAACACCTTTTTAAGTGAAGATGGCTGATGTGGCCACTGTTGATGAAAAAATACTACAACTAAAGAATACACTTTTCCTCAGTTTACAAGCAATGACAGTTGTCACACCCAAAACAACCTGAAGAAACCGAGTGCAACTCCTATTAAAATCTGCAGATACAGACCATAACAGAGCACTGGGTTTGACACCTTCAGAATTGCAAAGCCACCAGAGCAACAGGCAGACAGAACTACAGGGCTTTTAAACAGATTTTTAAAAGTGTGCCATCATAATTTTTTTCCACCAAGAAAAACTTATCTCCTTCTGTTAACTTTCTATTTATTTGAAGGAACGCTGAAAATACTCTTAACAATTCTATTGAAAGACATTAATAAACGTTGTAAATATTTTTAACTAGCTCCCATTTACTTCAACAGTAATAAAGCAATCATGTTTGCCGAAAGGCTTAGGTTAAACAGGCAGCAATCCTCCTGTTTCAGACTCTGGGTTTGGTTTCAAAAATTCTTTCTAAGGTTATGCTGCACCTGCAGTGTACGTTATCAGTAAAAGCAGTGCTGCTTGACGGCTTGATATAGAAAGTACATAGATGCTGAGACTTCAGAATTGTTTTATCACTTTGTGTGGTTCAACACTGACACATGACCACCAATCCAGCTGCTACTTTAGAAAACTCTCCTGACATTCCTTTGTGGCAACACTTCTCCCAGGTATGCAGATTCGTCAGGTTCAGACGCACGCAGATACAGAGCCATCGTCCATATTTTTATACTATTCTAAGTCCCCCTTCAATACACAGATGACCTACTCCCACGAACCAATACTTCTCCACTCTGATCAGGTAATCAAGTGTCTCACTCTTTTCAATACAATGTTTCATAAGGTCTTACATTCCCTTTCTGTAACGGTATTGAAGACAATTTTGTTCCATTTTTATTAGAAGTCAAAAACACTGTGTTGAGATTGGCAAGGCCAGTAATGACAGGAAACTGAGTCACTAATGGACTACTCCCATTTTACGCCCAAAAAAGTCTTTTCAGAATGTGATAGCATATTTCAACAGATCAGGTCTCTAACTGTAATGCTAAGAAATTATTTCAGCACCAATTATTTTATTTCATTATAATGATTTCTTCTTGAATTTTTAGTGTCAACAAATTCAAATTGAAGCAATAGAAGATGCAACCCCTCTACTTTTTGTAGAGAGAAATATAAGCAGTAAGCAATCTGCATAAATGTGATCACTAGCAAGACTGTATGGATCATTAACACTTAAGAGGTTGTACGCCTTCTATATGCTTACCTCCATTCCTACTCTGTCTCTTCTCTGAGAAAATAATGGGTGTCTAGAGCTGGGATAACTGAGCAGTCCTGATCTTACTACTTTCTAGCCCAGTGAAAAATGAAAGGGGGGCTTCACAGAAGTCATCACACAGCTTTCTTTCCCTCTCCCTTCAGGAGAAGCATTTACACTGCCTGGCAAAAAAAAAGCCACTGATCCTAAATAGTCATTTAACAAGTAACCATCCCAATCTTTATGTTAACCCAAGTACACAAGCACTCTGGTGAACTCACCCCAATGTCTTCATCACTTTGTATGAGCTGTGAATGTCCAAAGAGGCGTCTCTTCAGTATAGGTTCAACCAGTGTAAGGTACACCATGTACAGAAGAAGCAGGCCCAAAATAGACAGGTATATGATGATTGTAACCTACACAATGCAAGCACAGTTTATGCCAGAATTATGACAATACCCCTACAATCTCTCAGGAGGCAGCAAGGACCAAAAGAAGAGTACATGTTAGCTTGAAACAGTTTTTCTTATTGAGGCCTTGCTAAAAATCTCATGCTATCCCTCTTAAAATAACTTGGTGTCATAAATCTCACCTCAACCAAGACAACTGTTCAGTTTGGCCATTAAACTGGGGTGGCAAATATGGGGGTTCCTACATGGTCTCCATTCTCTAGCATAGATCTGCATCCAAACAGTCACTAAGAAAAATGGGAAGGCAAAAAGAAATATCGAACTTCTAAAAGACCAAAAAAAGAAGTTTGAGTCGCAAAAGAAGAAAATATGCACTTTACAACCTATTCACCCCAGCCTAGTGCTCAATGGCTCCAACAGGGCAGGAATGTGAAGAATATGGAAACCATCTGTGAGAGCAAACATGGACAATTTTTCTCTTTTTAGCTTGCCAATGTAAAAGGAAATTTATAGTAAACAAATAAGACAGATGAACAATGAGAGGCCCTTTAAAATAATAAAAAAACCATAAAGTCCAAAGCTTAACAAAATGCCCTAGAATGCTCAGAGTTTCAGCAAGGTGTAAAGCTCGATCTCAGAAGTGGAAATCTTCAGTAAAGGATCTCGAGCCCCCTCCTTCAGCTATAGCTTGATGTTACTAGTATTGTTACTAGTCAAGATAAATTGTGAGCAACTATCATACAAAAAAGTTAAATTTTAGGCTGCTTTAGAAAAATTTTCCCTTTAAAAAGGATATTTCTCTAAAAGACAACATATGTACTAATCAGTTGAAGTATTGAATATATGCCAATACAATTATATCGTTTACCTGAATAGTGATAGAGCTTCTCTCTTCATATTTGCATTCACAACGTAAACAGTATGCTTCTACATCTGGTCCAGCGACAGGCATAGGCTCAACCACATGAAGACAATCACTGGAAAGACAGAAACTGCTCAGTCAGTTTAGAGCTGGTTTTAGCTTACCTGCAGACCCCAGCTGCATGAGCTGAGAAGCTACCTTTGCTTAAGTTCAGCTGTTCTAAATTATAGGTATCCAAGATTTAAAAAAAAAAACAAACCAAAACACTCCTCCACAATCATTTTACTTAAACAAGAAATTCAGCTATTGACAAGCTGCTAAACAAGCTTTAAGACCTTTCTAACTCAATACAATTATTTCATTTTTCAGTGAAAGTATTAAAGCGGTTAGCATAGCAAGTTCAAGGATCTGAATCCCAGCATGAATGCATCATTTGACACTGACATCAAGGATGAAAGTAAATTTCAGCTATATGCTTCCTTCATCATACTCAAAAGAGCCTTATTCTATCCTTCTACTGTCTGAAGTGAGATTAAACTCTCTTTGCTGTTCATGAACAGAGGTTCTTTTTTCTTGCCATCACAAGTTACAGACATTAAAGGAAAAAAAAAACTAGTCAGATGAGTTGTTTCTCTAAGCAACAAGATAGTGAATAAATAATTCAGTTTTCATCACCGGACCCAGATGTGAAAGGATAATTTGACTTAGAAGATTATAAGTCAGTCCCATGCCAAAAAGTGGGGTTGAAAATCTTACAGGCACTCTGTACTACAGCACTAAAATCCAGCTGCCACGAGACAACCACTTCCACCAATAACTTATGTAATTTCGGTCTTTTTGCTGACTCAGGCTGGTTGTTGAAAGTTCACACACCAGGATCCTTGCAGAGCACTGACAGAACAAAAATCACGTTTCACCTTTATCCTGGTTAACTCAGTGTTCACACAGTCAGAAGCAGATAATGAAACAGAATGCCTGAAGTGACAGGAGCAGACTAGGATTCAGCACTCTACTGGGCTGCAAACACACAGCCACACACCAAATGTTCTACTTCTGCTTTCTTTGTATTTCTTCTTAATTAAAACCATCCAGTGTCAAGTCATATCCTCTGGAGGAGAAAGGAAGTCTTCTTTTTCTCATTTACTTAAAAGCAGAATTACATACTCTTCTGTGGAGGAACATAGCATTCAAGCAACATTAAAAAATCCATATAAATTACAATCTACACAACTTCTGTTCACATGATTGAAAGCTTGCCACCAGTATGCTGCACAAGTACAGTAGAAAGCTTTATGTAGCTTAAGCACAGTAGTAAGTCTGTTACTGTGAATATATCCAATCTTAACATTGACATTTTTTTTTCTCCAGCTCAGTGTTCCAGGTTGCTAGGAAGTGTAAAATCTATCGAAACCTTAGAATTTTGATGATGTGTTTCCCTGGACTGTGATTCCATGGCAATTTTAGAGGAAAATGTAGAATAGGCTGATCTTTTTCTAAATGATTTTCACACTCAAGTGCCTCTACTCCACCTTCTCCCTCGCGCCCACAGTAACAGCACCAAGGCAGCATTTCTTCCAAGGCAAGCCAGGCTGGTCAGAAGGGCAGCTTCTGCACAGACAGACTGCCAGCTCATTCAGCTTGTAGATGGGGTGTCCTCCTTCCCTCCACTTCCATGAGTCCCACTGCAGTCAGCCTCTGCACACCAGTACTTTCAAAGTACAAGATACAAACACCAACACTTTCCAAGCCAGTTGTTTAACCCCATAGGTGCACCACTACACTCGCCTAGCGCATTGTCCATCAGGACAGGATTGCCTGCAACAGTCTCAAACCCGAGCCCAGAAGGGTGAAAGCTTTTATTGGTGTCAAAGCACCCCAGCCCATATCGATGTTAGCATAACGCACTGTTCACCAGTCTGAAGCCAAAGAACAGACCGCTCCAAGTGAAAGAACTGAAGCATCTAAATAAGAGTATCATGACACACATTACAGGTTCAACATTAAAAATTAAATTTCCATTTTATGTCTGGACAAGCCAGCAGTAAGTGGCCATTACACTGTACATCCTTCATAAAGACACTAAAAATTGATGTGACTCTTGTCTCACAAGTAATTGATCTAAACACCTAAAGCATGCTGCGCATCAGCCAGTTCTATTCAATAACAAGCCACTTGCACTGATGCAGAAGCCAAAGTAAGGCACTAAATTAGTCTATTTTGTTGGACATAAACTAGCAATCAAGCCTTTTAGAAGCAGCAATAAGACATCTCAAACAGAAGATCAAAGCCATAAAATGTTCCCAGATGGTCACTTTGGAAAGGATCTCATAAAGTGGATTTAAGATAGGAAAATAGATTTTTGAGATTCTGTATTCATCATTATTTGTCACCATAAAATTAGTCAAGCCTTCAAAGATAATTTTTCCTTCAATCCTAAATACTGATTTAAAGGGAAATGGGGTCTTGTCTGCTAGTAAGGCACACGCTAAGCAGTATGTACTGAAAAAAAAATCCATTTTCATTTGCAGAGCATTAAAGAACAATAAAACCAGTAACACTGCTATTCTGAAATGTCTGCTGCAGTTGGAATTCTCCCAGTATGTTTCATTCCTGCAACTTAATTTGTCACAGTAAGACTAATGTTGTCAAACCAATCATGTGGGACAAAAATAGTAATTTCGATTAGACAGTACGTTTTATGTTCATTAGTTTAGACTGAAGTTTACAGTGTTGTTTCTCGCAGTTCTCCTGTAAGCAATTTGAAAAGTCAAGGCACAGCTCTACACAAATCTGTATCACTGATTTTAACCAGTAAGACTCACTTTAATTTTTTATGCCACACACACACTCACCAGTCTTTCTGTGAAACATTTTTGTTGTAAATATGGCCTGGACGGTCTTTATAAGGAGGGCAGATGCATTTACATCGGACATCCTGAGAATTCTGTAAAGTAAACAACATGCTTTGAATAAATTATCATCAGTAACCACAGTTGGATACAGAAAGCACTCTTCATGTACTACATTAAATATTTAACACAAAACACTTCCAAGTACCTTTGAAGAGTCTTACTCAGGATTTCCTTCAAGTTTAAGAACAACCACTCCAAATCAGTAAGCAAGCAGAGCAATTTGTCAAGGAGCACTATAATTTTAGATACCAAACGCATTCTTCAGAAGAAAAATCTGGCGTTTAAGCTAACTTTTCTTTTTAAGAAATAACACACATTCAGAAGTTACTGATGTTGGTATATTCAACTATTCAATTTGAGGACAACTGTATAATACAGACACAGCAATGAGCTTAAAATGAATGAAAGAATATTAACCCCGAATGAAAGTTGGCAAAGAAAACTCTGTGGGCAACTCTGTCCTCCCTGACCACAACTGAAACAACTCTGCAACAAAAACTATTACAGGGACTAACTAGTACAACCTACGGTCCTCTTCTCTTAAACAGCAGCAGGATATTGTGACATAGAGAAAAAAGTACAAAACTGGAATTCCAAACAAAGGCAAAGTAAATGTGTAAAATGATGGAAACGTGTAAAAGTAATTTTTAGAGAAACAGGTTAAAATTTGCCTAAGGAAAAAGAGGCACTGCAGGAAGAACTGAGGAAAATAAACTGTTATGGACAGTGAGAAAGAAGTAGCACCCAAAATTTGCATTTAGACCACCACTGGGAAAAATGGAATTTCAGAAAAATATCACTTTGGGTATTATATTAAAATACAATAATTCCTTCCCTTCCCAAATCACACAGGAACTGAAAACCCTATGGAGAACACAGAGATGGTCAGCAAGAGGTTACAGATGAAAGCATTCTCAAACCTAAATCAGAGTAACTTATTGGAGCAAATAATAAGAGACCGAGGACAAACACGGCTTATCTAAAGTTCAAGGCAATTTCTAACAGCATTACAAAAGAATGTCTTAAGTATTGGTAATAAACTTCCACACCAAACAGTCAGCTCAGAGCAACACTACGCGGGCACAGGCCAGTTGGAAAATCCTGATGCACTACACACCGAGTCACTTCTGGTCTCGCCGCAGAAAGTCAAAGGCCTGCCCGTCATTACAAAGGGTGAAACTCAGACACACCGGGACTTGAACCGCAGCGAAGCCTCTCACAGCCGGGCCCGGGGACGCTAGGATTACCGCCCCACACACGGCCGGGAGGGAGCAGCAGCGCGGTGCCGGCCAGCC